TTGTAAACAACAAGGCGATTCCCTCTAACATTATAGTCCGGGTGGACGGATGAGTCATGGCCTTGTAAAAGATTATGTTTGTTTCTTTTAGTTGGTGAGAATGTGTCGCCGCAAACGCGACAAACATCCACTAACTTTGACGGCGTTTTCTGCGAGCACGGCTGAGCCATTTTGTACCGCTATACGTGTTTCTAGTGGGACTATGTTTACAAGCACAAGAGTTCAACGAGCCACCGAAGGACCGCCCTGCGGATTTACTATTGAGATATGACGTCAAAACATGATGATGTCACAGTCAAGCTGGCCTTTGACCATCTGACCTTAATTATTTTATCCTGTTATACATTTGTATTAAGTTGTGCCATAATAAGCAAGTTTTGTGAGGTCACACTGACCTTGACCTTTGACAACTTTAGTTCATTCTTGAGTACATGTGGACGTTTGTGCCAAATTTGAAGAAATTCCCTCAAGGTGTTCTTAAAATGTCGTGTTCACAAGAATCAACCAAACAAGGTCAAAGTGGCTTTGACTTTTGACCTATGACAACAAAGTCTAATCAGTTAATCGTTGAGTCCAAAGGGACATTTGTGCCAAATTGGGAGAAGTTCCCCTGAGGTGTTTTTGAGATACCGTGTTCATGAGAATGGGACGGACTGTCTGGGTGACAACCTGAAAACACAACGCCTCTGGCTATGGCTATCTCCAGTGCTCAAAACTGAGCGTTACCTGGAGAAACTGATGGATGTTACATCGTGTATGAATAAAGAGGGTCTTCAGTCCAAATGTCCAACTTTTTAATGAACATCTAAATTAAGTAATGTTTTAGTAAAATGCCCCCTGTCTTACATTATGTTCAATTAAAGAACACCTCATGTAAAAGGTCCGTAATTACTTATTAATTATTTCCTGGAATATAATTTGTTGGTAATTAGAGGTTAGTGTTCAGTCAGTAAACTTCCAGTTAATTAATTCCAGATGCTTGTGAGTGTAACCTGGAGAGTCTTTTCATTCAGCTCCACAGAACATGCACACATGCAATAACAGCATACATCGAGAATTAAGTCTTCTTGGTTTGAAATGGAGAACGAAATTGTTATTTTCCCTGAAATTAGTACAGAATTACAGCGACTGAGTAATCCCCAGTTTTCTGAGGAGCACCACGGCTTTAGACTTCTCCACACTCAGCTGCATCCCATTCCAGTGTGTGCTGGAGTGTCGCAGGTCAATGAAGCCATCAGAACTGCCAGAGGCCCGGCAAGGCACGACCCTGGCCTGGAGCCCAACACCCTCTGAGAATATGGACTCTCACATTATCTTTTCAAGGACCAGAAGCAGGACTTGACACTAACTTCTTACTCCCAAAAATTGTGGAGTAACAGAGTTAATCCACGGAGTATTATATATGTACTATATGTGTGTGTGTTTCTTCTCTTTGTGTGCAGTGGTGGAATGTAACTAAGTACATTTACTCACTTTCGTACAAGTTTGCCATACTTGTATTTTACTTGAATAAACATAGTACTTTTTACTCTGCTACATTTTTTGATAACTTTAGTTACTGAGATTCAGATTAAATCAGCTATGAATTATACAAATTATAATATATAGATTTAGTCACCCAGCAGTATATAAAGTCATAAAAATGAGCTCCACCTTTTAGCAGCTGCAATATTTAAGTGATGAACACATTAATAGATCAATAATAATAATCCAGTATATACTGTATTATTCTGACATGGGTCACTCTGCATGCATTTTGTACTTTAAGTATATTTTGAAGCTAAAACTTGTGCTTTTAATTGAGTAAGACTTTAAATGCAGGACTTTTGTTTGTATCGGATTATTTTCACACTGTAGTTTTATTACTTATACTTAAGCAAAATATCAGGGTGCCTCTTCACTCCTCACCACTGCTTGTGTGTAATTATGATGCGAAAACCCTGGACTGTTAAGAATAATGAATATATCTACCGTGACATCTTCCAGTTGGTTACGTTCCAAAGCCTCCATTGCTATCTAGTTGTTTTTTTGGAGTTAATCATGTTAATTTACATTAAGGATGTGATGTAATTTGTGGGGCTCTATAATGTAGGACATCATATAAACCATTGTATGGGGATGCGTTGAACTATAATGTGAAAATCAGTTAAAGACTATCAGACTGTTCTCAGAAATTTTTCATACGTGTCCTATGAAAAGCAGTGCGGCCAAATATGTACATACCCCATGAATTTTTAAAGCTTGTGATCACGTGATAAGGAAGCGGTCCTGAGTACTTGTAAGGAGGCAGGTTGCGGCGGTGGATGAGTCACAAAAAGCATGTTTCTTTTCCTAAACCTAACCATGGTAACGTTAATTTATACCTAACTTCCATAACATTACGTTAATTATGTAACTCTACGTTAAGGACGTAATGTCATTGGTGGGGCAATAATTCGTCGGATATCATACAAACTGTTCTGTGAGACAATGTTGGGACTATGGAAGTGAAAAATGGAACATTTTGAGCCACGTGAATAGAGTCTTCCCTTTGCTAACTCCAGTGGACGTTTAAGTCAAAGCAGGGGGCCCAGTAGCTTGCTAACATCGTTTTCAGCTGCTCTGTCGTTGCTAGCTGCCATGCTAACATTAACGACGCATCGCAAAGAACCGATGGGATCACTCCAAAGGGGCCCACTTGCTTCTCAAACCTACCACACCGCGCTGGCAACTCTTCTCTGCAATCGGGCTTTCCTCCTCCACCAAGACTCTCACATTTTTGGTGTTCAGTATAGACTTCTCTTTTGTTTTTGTTTTTCAGTACAGTATAGTAGACATGTATATGTTTATTTTTGATAATCTGCATGGAGCACAACCACCTCAAGGCCACAATACATCAGCTATACTGCCTGTTTCTCCCCTGTTTTTTTTTCGTTTGTTTGTTTATTTGTTTGTTTGTTTTTCCTCCTTCTTCTCCGCATGCACTGTCACTATATAACTCAGGACTTAAGCACCTGCCCCCTCCCCCTTGCTTGTTTCCTTACTTTCCCCCTGACACACTTTGGTGTATCACGGCCCTCTCTGACTCATATTAGGAAGTTTTTCCAATAAAGGCTGTTAGGCTAGTCTCCAGGGAGGGTGGGTGACGGTCACAACCATGCATTATGGGTATAAAATACTGGACTGCAAGATTAACAGTGCATCAATCTTCACAAGAAGCTTACACCCTTTAGTGGCGCTAAGCTATGAAGACCAATGCAGACAAGTAGGAAGGAAAAAAAAAAAAAAAAAAAAAACAGTTAACGGAGTTAACGGATCCCGTTATTTAACCGTTTCAACACTAAATTAAGCAGAGTGACGGACCCAAAGCCTTCAATCTGGCTAAAAGACAGCTGAAATGCTAAAAAAAAAATACAGTGGCGAAGTTGGGATTTGTTTCTTGAAGTTATGTGCTCATCGTCTTTTCTGTGTCTTGCAGGCTGCCAGGAGAAGCGGACTGGCCGTCAGATATTGTTTGTGGAAATTTGAAAATAAAGTTTGTCAAATTGACTTTTGTCTCTTCATTGTGCACACTTACACACGAAATAGGGTAACAATCAGCTATTTTTGAATGTTAGCACTGATTTCTCACATTGGATGGTGAAATATTTGTAGTTTGAAAGGTCCGACCTAAATGAATAAAGGTCATAGTTAACGAAGCATATGAATATTAATGAAGGAACGCCTACTGAGCGCAGCTTATTTTATTGATTGTTTGAATGTCGCGTGGTGGTCATTTTCGATTAAAGGCCAACGTCTCAGCGACGTCTTGGCAATGAGCAAACGCTCTCCCAGCTACGTCTTAACGATCTAAACTTGATACATCGGGCCGACGTCGGCCAGATGTATGTGTGCTATCTGGGTAACATCGTTCTCAGCTGCTCTGTCGTTGCTAGCTGCCATGCTTTTTTTTTTTTTACTTTTTTGAATAATCAGTAGTATGGTAGGTTGTGATCTTTACACACACACTGTGCTCCTGACTAATTGTTCCGGCCCGCACATTTCTATTTTCAGGGGCAAACGCATGTGAAATACTCACACTGTTAAGCCCTGACCAGAGGGCAATTAGCTCTGGCACCCCTTAAATCCATGAAACACGTGTAGACTGGATGGGCAAACAGAAACTGGAGCTACAGTAGCATGTTCAACAAAAATCAAACAGAGCTGTACCTGGTGAACACAGAGATTAACAGAGCCACAAAGCAAACATTTACCAAACAGATTCTCCTCCACACAGGGAGATATTTTGGTTTACAAGGCTTTGAGTCATTTGTCTTCTACAACTGCATTCCATTCATCTCCAGAATCGTCGTAGCAGGAGTTTAGAGAGAAACCATCCCGTAACTAGAAAGTCTAACATCCAGTCCCACGGTACCAAACATTCTCCAAAATGTCCTTGGATAAGACGTGGACTTACTCGTGTCCCTGGGGATGTTGCTTGGTCTCTGACCCTCCTCTTCAAAGGCAGCAGACAAAAAGACAGGCATAATTCCTCCTCTGTCCCTGGATCAATACCATGACACCACACAGATGAAAATGGCTTTTTAGATCAATCGATGATGAGCATTCCAGCAGCAGAGAAACAAGCTTTCACAGCAGACATGCTAGTGTGTCATCCATGCTGTCAACAAGACTGTCTGTCCTCTCAGCCTTGGACTTGTGGTTTGTTAAACTTTTGCAACCTTTGCAAATTTAACTTCCTCTAACACCTTTAGTAAGATATATACTTCTTGCAAACACTGCGGATGTAGAAAATATCTTAAGTTTGGGTTCTTGTGATTCCCATTTGATGTCTGAACTTGAATTTCCAAGAGGCACTTTTTGTTTGGCAACCAAGCTGCAGATGTAGATGATGAAGTCCAGTGTGACAGGAGCAACTGGTACAATCATTCAACCGGTGCAAGGCCTGCAGAGTTTCCTCTATCCATCCGCACTTTGCACCAAAACACATCTCCTGTTCTGCAGGAGTCCGAATGTCTGCAGAACTCCTGTGATGACATGAAGCTGAAAATCACGCAGCCTCACATTTCACAGAGCCACCTCTTGTCTGTTGGAGTTGCCATTGGCTGCTGGTGCAATGACGGCTGCAGTGGGCGTGGTCTTCTTGATGGAGGTGAGGCGGATGTGGGAGGTGCTATGCAGGTAGCTGGCCTGGCGCTCGGGGCGAGGACCTCGACCACATCGCAGCTGACTGAGGAGAAAAAGAAAGAGTTAACTGAGTGCACAAAGTCCTGGAGGATCTTTCTTTAAATATCTTCATTACAGATTTTAGAGGTTTGATTTTACTCCACAGGGTCATCATGATAAAACCGAGAAACTAATATCCTCCTTTAATTACACATACTTTAACTGAATCACAATGTAGTTCTAACAGAATAGTTGCATGTGGAGATATTTGGTGTGGTACGAGCTGTTAAAGCATAATCCTAAACAAATGAAGGAAAAGAACATGCTCTGCTTCCATCCTAGTTTCCATTATTAAACAAATGTTATTGCTTCCCATTTTGGTAAAGTGACATTTAGACTTTATCTTCTCTTTATTTAATCAGAAACCGGTTCTTTTTGTGCCCTTTTCATTCCAGTACTTTTGGATCTGCAAACTCTGAAATACAGTTTTCGGAAATGGCACCCATAACAAATAAATCGCCAAAAAAAGGAGAGAAACACAAAATACAAGAAATAAGAAGAAGAGCAAAAACAATAGAACTTAGAATGGACAAAAGATTAGGAAGGACTGTACCACATTAAAGTAATAGGTCCATCACAATGAAAGGATGACACTCGGTGATACTCAACACAGTCAGTTCATCTACATGACATTAGAAAAATCAATTTATTGTGCTAGTAAAGCTTTCGATTTACAGGTTCATCTACGTCCCAACCCTCACCAATGGCCATGAGCTCTGGGTAATTCTCCTGAGTGCCTCCTCTTAGAGGTTTCATATGGACAAACCTTGCCAGCCAAAGACAGGAGGGGGTCTATCACTGCCAAACCTAAAATATTATAATGTTTCTTTTGAAATGCAAAGCTTGCTAGACACTGAGGCGGAACAAATGCTGACTTGGACTGGATCCCAATTGAACAGGAACTTACTTCTCCTTTTAAACCCACTGAAGCTCTCACACAAAAGATAAAAAATGAGAATAATTAGTATGATAAATCCTATTGCAGCTCATTTAAGAATAGTTTGGCAAAAAAGTACATAAAAAATGTAAGAATTCTAATAATATTCAAATATATTCAGCCATATGGCACAACCCTGAAATATAAATAGGTAGGGAGATAATCTATTAAACTCAGTAGTTAAGAAAAGGTATCAGAATATTAGATTATCTATTTAAAGAGGGCAATTTTCTTTCACATAATAGAATGAAGGAAAAATTCAACCTGGAGGGACGAGGCCGCTTTTGGAAATATCTACAGATTAGAGACTAGACGTAGACGGAGTGCTACGTACAGTTGCCACAGAGCATCACAGTGGTATGTAATGTGTCTTTGGATAGAAAACAATGGTTGTGGTAATCTAAGGATGATATGGGAGAAAGATCAAAAACATAGGAGGGGATTCTTCCCAACACCGGGGTATATTTCAGAGAAGCCATATTAATTCAGTATGAAATGATTGACAGATATTATCACACTCCAGTAAGAATCAATGGAATAGGCCTACTTAAAGACCATCTATGTTGGAAATGCAGAAAACATGGCACATATATGCACTGTGAGAATGTATTAGGGTTTCTTCTTTCCCTGTGGAGGAATGTTCTGGATTACACTGGTTAATGGTTAGAATGTGAACTGCCCAGTTCGCCAAGACGTCGTCTCCTGGGTGACAAAACTGCAGTACCGAATTTGAATAAATTTGAATTTAAAATATTAAAAACTGGCCTTTTAGCCTGTGCTCAGATGATTCTGAGGTGATGGAAGGGGCCTCAAACTCCTACACTGAATATGTTGCCAGCTCAAATGATGGAAACGACTGCGTGTGGAAGATTAAACTGGGAAAACGATATGGTGAATGAACAATGGGACAGATTCAACTGATATATGTCTGAAGGGAACAATGTGATGCGGTATAGTACACGTTGCACTCATGATTGGCTCACCACTATGACTGAAGAAATGGTAAATGGTCTGCACCTTTCTAGTCTTCTGACCACTCAAAGTGCTTCAACACTACATGTCACATTAACCCATTCATATATATATTCACACATGTGGACTGGAGGAGCCGAGGAGGCGGTCCTCCGATTAGTGGATGACCTTCTACGTCTGAGCCACAGTCGTCCCATAGCTGCCTTTCCTGTATTAATGTCTGTTAATTTTGTTTTTGATTGTCTTGTTATTTTTTGTTTTGTTTGTAAAAATGCAAAAAAGAAATTAAAAAAAAGCAGGGGGTACAATCCCAGCTGGAAAAGCAGCGATGTTGCGGTAAAAACATCCAGGCTCATGATAATAGCTCTCTTGTTGTTGACTACTGAACATATTTCTATTAAAGAACCAACAGATAGCATCTTTTCCTAAATATATCATTATGAAAATAATGTGGGTTGCACAGGGTAGTGGCCACAGTAAAATCAGACTATCAGCATTTACATAGGTTACTTAGTGGCTTTGCAATAAGCTTCTGCCACCGGGGGCAAAATTTCGCAGAAAAAATATGCTTTATGGCAGGAAATGCGTCATGTATTGCAAAACTGGTCGGTCAGCCAATCAGGGACTGGAGCTGGTCCTTATGAGGAGTTGGGCATGAGATAGTTGAGTCACGAGCACAATGGCAGACGGACAAAGTGTGGAGACAAGTGAAAAACGGCCTAGCAAAAGAAAAGGAGCTCCTCTGTGTGAGGAGGCAAAGAAGAGCAAAAAGGAGAGTGATAAAAGAAGAGGAAAAACAAGAGTAAACCTCAGTCAGGAGTTCAAGAGATGGAGGGAGCTCCGTGACCAAAGAGGCTTCAAAACCCATGTCCAGCTAGCTTTCTTTCTAATGGATCAGTAAGAAACACGGCTAAATGTTAGCTAGACCAGAGAGGACTGTACTGTACTGGCTGCTAGTTCATTCCTAGCTGGCCAGCATCGCAAATTGCCGCAGGGAGCAGGTAGCGAGTGTTGGTCGGCTGACATCCTGGTTGCCATTCTACGGCAGCCCTCGGACAGTGATACCCCCCTCCCTTCCTTCTGGTCTCTTCTCATGGAGGCAGCTATCGACAGACACCGCCCAGCTAAGTTACGCCCAGCTAAGTGAACACTGGACTTTGTTTCCCATTCAATATGAGCTCCAACTAGCCGCATCGTTTCCATACGCTACCGTTTATTCTAGAATTGTGACTGTTTACATGTGCATATTGGTATAATTCCACTGTGTCTACTGTTGTTTGTACTGATACTGTACATGTTGGTATAATTTACTGTGAGCTGTTTGTACTGGTACTGTGCATTCTGGTATAATTATTTGCATTACTATTTGTTTTTTCTTCAGATAAATCTGGTAATTGTTGCTCGGTCTCTTTACTCATTTATTCAGTAGAGTGTCCACGCACCTTCTCATTCTACATATACATAGAGGTATACTGGTGGCTTTACAGCCTACATTTTATTGATTATCTCTGATCCCCACGGTCAATTTGGTCGTTGCGACAGTGCGATGCAACACCACTGACGCTAGGTGGTACCAAGCTGAAAATAAACGAATCCTATCTGTTGCCTCTTTAACACAAATATAACATGTTTGAAATTTGTGTTTTTCTCACTGAGAAGTTTTTTATCTTTTCTTTCTTTTTTTTGTGGTGGTCGTTACACAAATAAACCAAAGATGTCCATGATCTTTACGCAGTTTTACAATAGCACATTTTTAAGCAACATTTCATCAAGCAGTAGGTGTCTAATTATACGGTCCGGTTACTGAAACGTGGTCTGCTATGATGCAATATAACGTCATACTGGAGGTGGCTGATGGAAAAAACTACAAAGCATTTCATAAACTGAGAATGAAACAGAATATAACAGAACATAAATGTATGACTTTATGTACTGTGTGTTCAGAAAAAGAGCCGCACTGCTTCTCAGTGGAGTCGAGGCATAAACAGAGGAGCTGTGAACAGTGGCGCGGCCTCACAGCAGGAGGAATCCTGCTGCCCTTCCATATTACTGGATAACTAGTGACGGTCCCACCCTCAGCTGAGCTGTGCCGCCACATTAAAGCACCCGGTGGAGTTTTCTTTAAAACAAAGGGATGCTTACGTCCAGTGATTCAAACCACAACACATCCTGTGAATCCTTGAGACCAGTGTCATCGAAGGCATTTCCATCCTCATAAAACATTTATGAAGCCCACATCCTACACATCTGAACTCTCCCCAGGGTTCCTTTAATCTGACTGACACAGCATGTGGTCAGAGAGACAAAGCAAGATTTAAAAGGCTCACAAAATACAGCTCACGGATGTTTTGTAACAATGGTGCAACATTGTCTTTGTGTTTTATTAGATTATTATTTGAATTATTTATTGATTAAATAGTCGTATTGTTTCCAAGAGTGCTTTTCTTATAATATGTGTTTTCTCAAGAAACTGCAGAGTAAACTGTTGTTTAAGGCCCACACAAACAAAATTGACATCAACGAACTTGTGGCACCAAAGGCCAACTGTCACCTCATGTCGCCTGTCTCTGCCAAAAAGTTGCACTTAAAACACACCACACAACTTGCAAGTACACTCCGCATCTTCATGCGAGGAGATATCTCTCTATGGCAGCAGGCCGCGGTCTGAATTCATCATTCAAAAAAGGGAAACGTGAAGACTGACAGGAAGGATTCAAGACGCTAGTTAGCCAGTTAGCACATCAACAATACAACTCAGTGTTTAAAGAACAAGTGATATTTAAAGGTAGGATCTGGAGGATTTTCAAACAAAACAAAATATAGACATATACAAATGAAATCCTGCTTAATCATCACCTATGGGCTTCTACTCGTGTGGTGGTGACTCTGTTTGCAGAGCTCCTGCCCTTTAACTGTATTTTGATGTTTTTGTGATCTCGGACCACTTCTGGGCGGAGATTTCCCCAGCCAATGAGAGAGCGCAGGCGCCGTGCCCGAGCATGTCCGAGCGTGCACCAGTGCAAGCCTTGCCTGAACCTCTTCTGTGAAGCCTTCTTCCGTACCTCCGGGCTCCGTACACCCGGGAGAGTTGAGCCTGAAAGGAGGGGCCGAATTTGAATGTGTGTTTACAAACAGCAACTGGAAAATCCTCCAGACCCTACCTTTAACAAGCGCTACTGAGCAGTGACACAACAAATTAAAAATCTACTGAAGAGCTCAGTGGCTAAAAAAGTAATCTCACCAAGTTTGTTTTGGTTTCACTCCTTCTTGAAGTCTGCTGTTTATTTGCTCTCCTCGCAATTGTTTCTGTTCTCGTGGACTGAACTGAACGGCCAATCAGAGTGATTTCATTCACTGATGGGCAAGACGCCAATTCAACATGCTCAATCAACCAAAAAAGAAAAAAGCAGACAAGGGCCAACGGTGCAGGACACCAGAAAAACCAGGGTCACAGACGCTCAGCAACAGCCTGGTGTGTCAGGTCTCTTCAAAGTAGACTGACTTGTTGCTGAATGACGATTGGTCTCAGGGTGAGAAATGGCTGGTGGCTGGTTGATGGAAAAAATCCACCAGCCAAGCCATATTTATTTACCGGCCAAAATAATAAATTCCTCTTTTGTTTCAGTACATTTTATTAAGATAATAAGATATTCTGTTAAATACAAACTTAAATTAGAGACCAGATCAAAATCTGGAGCTAGCTGAGTTTTCCATCACTCATACCAGGCCGGGAACAACAGTAACATTTCACAAAGGTAACGTTCAAAATTACGTTTTATTGTAACTCACAAGGTTCACCGACAAAACAATAGTCTTGTAACAAACACGTACTCCTCACAAATACAACATGCTAACGTAAATTAAAGCTTCATTTCCTCTGAGAGAAATGGTTTCAGCTTACAACAATACACAGGAAGTCTGCGTTGCTGCATCGTGTAGTTACATTTCTTAAGAGGTGCACATCAAGCAACGGCATAGGGTAGCCTACGCGTTTACACAGAGACTGAGCTGTAGGTACGACATTGAATTAAAGCAGAGGCATAAATCCCGCTTAAAGGATGTGAAACAAAACACAGTCGCACTGACTGCTGGAGTTGCTGTCAAACTGTTTCAGACTTTATAGAAAAATGTGCCGGGAGTGTGTGTGTGTGTGTGTCTGTGTGTGTGTTTGGACTGATATTTCCCAAAGTCCCAAAGAACCAGGGAAATAAAGATTCTTAACTTGCTCCCCGGATACAGAAGGTGAAGGCTTAACACTTCTGGAAATCCTCACACTTGGACCTGGAAAATGTCTTTTGAGCAATAAGAGATAAATCCAAAGACAGGTGAATTATGGCACGTGCTTCATGCTGCAGCTCCGTTATAATTGCTTCCCAAAGGCACATCTTATTTTTCCTAAGTATTCTCCGCTGACTCTAAGGCGTAAGGATTTGCCTGCAAATCTGACCCAAATGAAAACACAAGGCGCGTCCCTGAGTTCCTGTAGCTCACTGTGACAGTCACACTGTTTGGGAAGATTGTGCCGAGTTTTGAAGAGGGTTTCCATCTCGCCGAGGTAGAATAATGAAGTTTAGTGGAAGTGGAAGCACTCAAAAGGAGATTTAGAAAATGACGAAGCCATGATTACTTCATTTTGCCACAAGGTTATGGGGTCCATTTATGGTGAAAATCAAGGACTTGCCGTCTGCTTTTTTTCCTGACTCCATTTCTGAGTTTTTCAAATGTTCAGCCTTCTGGAAAGTTTTGATTAGTGTACAACTGCAATTTACCATGGTCTATACACAGAGAGAAAAATATCAGCAGCACCCTGCAGACACTGAGCAGCAGCCTGTCTCAGTGTCTGCCGGAATTCTGATTTATATCCCTGTGACATCAATATGTCTTATTCACACTGTATAGATACAGTCAGTAAAGAGATAAAAATTTGTTGAAGTGACCACCCTCCATATGTTTCCATCTTTTTTATGGTATAAGGGCAGTTAATCTCAGCATAATGTTGAGCGTCCTGTCAGACTGCATGTTGCCTTACGGGGTAAAAAGTAAAATGGGTTCAGGACAGTGAATACAAAATGATGAAGGCATTATATGTATTTAATACACTCATATATTTCTGAAGCTGAGTCGCTTATGAAAATGAGTATGAGCAGAGCGTTTGTTCGGGCAGAGCTCTGACGCTGTGCTTGCATTAGCTGATTGGCATCAGCTGTTTCAGTCCTGCATCATAATCACTGGATCATTCATCAGCCGATTGGCCACCAGCTGACGACCCTCCATATTCGTATCTGATATGCCAGTGTGATGTAATATTTGATTTAATTAAGACCTAATGTTCATGTATGTGTTAATCTCCACCAGGTGTAAGCCTGGATGGGATTGTATGTTTGGTTGTGTGTGTATCTGTCTGTCCACAGCTAATCCCACTAACTACTGGACCAATCAGCCTCATATATTTTGTCTGTATGCCCAAGGACCTCTGATGGCAGCAGGGATTCACAACAGTTAAATAAACGGTTTTATTGACTGTTTTATACCGTCTGTGACTGCTGACTCCTCTTAGCTGGCTAGCAGACGCCACAAGTTTTCCAGAACAAGCCTTATCGTCTGTTCCCAACTTGTCAAATATTGCCATCTTGTCAGTCATTTCCGCGTCAGATGTGAGCGCAAAAACTTTTCACGGTGGTAGGATGACGTTCTGCAATGCTGCGTCAACTTCAGCCTGTTACATACATTGTTTTCAAAAAACACTTCTGTTTTCACAAGACATGTACAGTTTACAGTCTCTTTCAAAATAATGCTGGTAAAACTCTGCAAAGGGATTTTTTTTCCTTAAACAACACACACACATGGTTGGGTTTAGAGAAATTAACAGGGTTTGGCTTTACAATCTTACGGGAAGCAAACACCAGCCACCCGGGTGAAAGTCAGTGGTTGTTGGACCCATCCACCACCCCTCCTGCTCGCCCTACTCAGACTTCCACTGCCTTAACTTTCTTTGTTATCCCATCGTGATTTCCCCGACACCGCCAGGCGCTGTTAAACGATAACGGCGACCTGCTGTGTATCATGCTGATGCAAAAGGAAGGCTTTTTTCATCTGTGTCTGACACTGGAAGTCACTGACCAAGCACTGGATTTCAACGACTTTGGAGTGAGACCGGGGTGAATCCACAGCTGAAAAAAGTCCCCAACAAATGCAGTATTTTCTCCTGTTTGAATAATGTTTATACAAAGACAGACAACATGTTGTTGGTTTTGGTCTTTTCATGGGATTTGTTGACATTAAGAACAATACTATTATTACAATAACTATTATTATTGGGCATAGTCAAAGACAGTTCCAGAAACTCTTATTTGAGACCCAACCTGTTGAAATGCCTGCGGAAGCTCTCACTGAGCAGGTAGAGGGCGAAGGGGTTGACGCAGGATGAGGAGAAGCTGAGGACTCGGGCCAGCAGGGTGATGATGAGGTGAGCCAATGACAGATCCGTCTGATGGTAGTGGAAGGAGCGGTACATGTAAAGAACGTGGTTGGGGAACCAGCACAGAGCGAAGAGACCCACGAACACCAACACGATCTTGGCCAGACGCTTCCTCGTCTCCATCTGCAGGGGCGGAGAAAAAGGCAACAATACAAAATAATTAGCTGGGAATGATGGATGAGAGATTAAGAGAGATTTTGCAGCTGAGTCTTTTCTGCATGTTATGAACGAGAGCGCAACTGCATAATTTTCATTTTATATTCAGGGAGATGTACTGGGAGCTGCGCGGACCACTATGAGCTTTGTGTTCTTAATGTGCTTCTATTCATGTGCATAATATGCTGCAGATACAATATGTAATCCTTTGGCTCTTGACATGAAAACCATGGTGATCATGAGATGGAAAAAAAGCCATTTAGTTGCTAATGTGATCAATTTTAATGCATAAATTAATGAATATTTAATACTTCCTTCATATTATTCTTCATATAAAGAGAAGAAAAGTATGGCTCTCAAGAAAGCTTCCTCCACAGTCACACAGGACCATCAAGTTTATTTTATTCATCTTTTTAAGACTAAAAAGTTTTGAAGTGTAGACTTTTGTAAAAATTTAAATACTGCATGGGCTGTTTTCACTGGCAATGGTTTTTCCAGTCAGGACCTCAGATCTTGAGATCAGTGTGACTTTTGACAACTATTATAGATTAAGTCTTTGTCTTAGGAGAAAAATATTTATTAGTTTTACTCACAGTTTAGTCATTTTTATCTGTCATAGTTTTAGTCAACAAAAATTCAAACATTTAGTCATTGTGTTTTCTATATGTTTTTCAACTAATCCAGTGACGCTAATCCATGTTTCAGAAATTAGACTCAAGGTGACAGGTTGTATAAAAATTTCATTTAGACAATTTACAACAAAATATGTATTTTAGCAACACAGTCAGCAAAACTAGAAAAGCACTCAGAGAGTGCAGACCTCCGCCAAGTAGGTGATATTCCCCCCCCCCCTCTGCATCAGATTTTGCAGCCTGCATCACAATTAGGTTATTTGCATCACTATCATTATTAGGTTATATATGCCTTCACCATGGAGACACTGTGGTGTATTTATTTCATTTTTATTTTGTACCAACACAGAATATAATGGGTTTTTTTGTATTTTTCACTTTCTTTTCTCCAACACAGAACATTAATTTCAACTTTAGAATTACAACAATATTTAGCAAGTAGAACAACACGTGGTGCTATTTTCACCGTCTTTAGAAATTGGAATTGCTGCTGAGGCTGTCAGACGATAGACTTTTTATTATTTTATCCACTTTGCTTCAACCGATCACCACCAAAATCTTATCACCTATTTCTTGTCCCATTATCCACCTGTCTTGAAAATTTCATCAAAATCTGTTCATAACTTTTTGAGTTATTTTGCAGACAAACAGACCAATGCCAGCGAAAACACAACCTCCTTGGCGGAGGTAATTACAGTTGGTGAAATGACAAAAATTAGCTGAGGTTACAATTTGTTAAAATATGTCTGGCAGCTTGCCCAGGGCAAAGTGAGCTAACATTTACAATAACCATGTATGATAATATTTGGTGTCAACGCCATCACAGGAGGTTGCTCTTAATTAATCTGATTGGATAAGTGGGAAAAACACCAATGATGTAGAGTGCTTTTTCCATTCTGACTTTAAGTTTTTCCAAATCAAGGGGTTCAAAGTGCTTGAGAAACAAAGCAAAAAGCGGAATAATCAGGGACAAATAACAACAAAAAGTCAGGCAAAACAGAGGCAAGATCAAATTGGATAAAACAAGAAAAATAGAGGGCAAAGCCATGAAAATTAAACACACAAATGTCATGGTAAAGGCAAATGAAAGTAAGACCAAAAGAAATATAAAATATATTAAAAAATTAATAAATACAAATAAAAGAATGATGACGATAAGGACAAAAAGATAGACTCATTAAGATAAATAAATGAATAAATTAACAGATAAAGATAAAAATATTTGCTGTTGCAAATTAATTGTACATGCATGTAGATTTTAGGTGACAAGGTTTTTTAAAGACACAACCTGTCTGATCCTTAACTTTTAAAACTCCTTAGGGAGGATGTCACAGTGGATGGATGGGTCAACAAAACATGTCCAGTTTACCCATGGTTAAAATAATGCAGGTAGGAATTACATACTTAAATTCTGAGCTACAAGCAGCTTGTTTTTTCACTGCAGCTTCAAAACCCAACAGGCATGATGAAGGAATCCTTAACAGAAAAAAATAACTGCTACAAGCAGTAATATACATGCTGCTTAAAAGCATCATTTAGCACCAACAATCACTTATCTGGGTGGGAAAATGTAATCATGCTTGAGAGGACACAAGGTTTAAGGCCCTCAGGGACCTGGATGCTAAAAGCTTCCTCCAAATGTTTCATGATGAAATGGATGGAAACAGTGACAGAGACGCACACAGGGAGAAAATAGATCTGGAATCATGTTTAAACATCAAATGCATTACATGTAGAGCAACGTACAAGGAGTTTGACCTTGTCAGACGGATGCTCAGAGATTGCCAGAGACATACGTAAAAGGTCAGTTATGCCACTCAAACTCACTCACCGCACTTTGCGCAGGTCGCACAAGGATTCAGCTCAACACAAACACACATAAAAATGTCAACAGTGTTTTTCAAAGTGCTTCTCTGTGTACTGCGGACGTCAAACCCATCAGACCTCCTGACCTTCTGATGTACACACTCCTGTTGTTGAACTGAAGGAGAGTTTTCGGCTCAGGAGGAAGAGCAAAAGAAAAATGTTCTCTCACGTTGCTCTTTTCTTTTCACGTTCCTCTGAATCTATAATAGTTTACATGAACAAATGAAACCCTGAGGAGCTCATTAGACCTTCTCACCCCAAACAGAGAGAGAAATAGAACAATATAAAATGTGCTTTCCCTCAGGTGCACGCAGGATTACTCTCTTATCTCTCAACAGCATCTGTTTGGTATTTTGTTTACTGAACTTGACATCGCTGCAGTGAACCTGAAAAGAGACAAAGTCTGTCAGCAGCAACCAACAGGTAAAGTGTCTTTGGTCTTGAGGACTTTTACAGACTTGTAGTACCATGGGAAGTTACATGAATATGAAAATTCAAGGTATGCACTGATAAATTAGAACTTTAAGGCCAAAACACACTGGCTGCGAACGCCGTGCCTCAGAAATACACCCCTATTATTTTCAATGTTCAATCCACACCAGCTGCAGCTAGATGTCCATCGGCACTCCTGAACCCTCTGCCCCACGGCACCTTAAGCCACTGGCCTATTTCCAGCCTCGCTGCCCCTGGAATTAAATGCATTTTCCCCGACTCCAGCAGCTCTGTTTCTCTGCTCCTGTGGCAGCTCAACTCCTCTCCTCTCCTCACCATGGAAGTATAAAGACAACTCTGTAGCTGTTGCTGTGTCTCATGTGTGACAAAGAATGGATGAGGAGAGACTCGTTGTTGAAATCAAGAAATATCCCGTGCTAAACGTCTATACATCTCTTTGCGTGGTCCAGTAATGCGTCCAGTGTGTGCTAGGTGCGGCACTTGACGATATATGGTGACACACAAGGAAGTTACTACAGAAAGACTGAGCCCAGGAATCATGCTTACAGTATATTGAATTATTCTGAATCTCATGATTCATTTTCAATGACAGTCCAGTCGCCAGAAGACCAGACCACCGCTGACCACTGTTCAAAACCAAGAAACAACAAAACCCGTTTTAGTGAGTCATTGTTGTGTTTCCAACAGTGATAGTGGCACAAACCCGGGTATCTTAAACCAAAACAGGATCTTTTCTGGACCATAACAACCATAGCCACGTGGTATTTGTGCCTAAACCTAACCACATGTTAACATAAGCATTGTTGAAATGTATCCACAACAACATCTTTTGCGGGGTTCCCCAGGGGTCTATCCTGGGTCCATTCCTATTTAAATCTTTTTCAAATAAATGTACAACATTGGTATTTACACCTCATATTTACACTTATTTCCTTGTGCAACAAACGCACATGGTCAGGTTTAGAAAAAAAACATCATGGTTTGGCTCAACATTCATACAGGAAGCGAACACCAGTCTCCTGGGCGAAAGTCTGTTGTATGTTGGACCCATTCACCTCACCTCGCCCCTGTCGGGACTTTCCAGGTCCTTAAATTACTTTGTCACCAGCAGCATTTCAGCCTGACACGGCATTTCATAGCGCAGTGACAGGTGCCCTACAGCATTATGAACTGATGCTGCCCGCCCATGACGTCTAGCCTAGCTCTGGCAAAAGGTCATAAAATCCACCTGCCAGCACCTCTAATGCATACTGATTACCATGTTATTGCATGGGGGGCGGGGTGCTGTGTGCGGCATTATTTCTTAGCTGGGCACATACCCTCTGTTAAACTGCTCCAGCTGCATATTTACCCTGCAGAGAGGTGAGTGGTATTGATCCTCTGATGTGACATTTGACTGGAAGGCACATAAGTGTAGATCCCAAAATGTCAGGCCGTGCTTTAATTGTATTTTTTCAAACAAGGGGAGTAAATATTTCACAGCATGCATATCCAACAAATGTGCCTCAGGTCCTTTCCGGCAGAGCAAGGACAGGAGGTATATTAAAAGGATTATTATGGATTATTGTTGTCAATGGTTAAAATGCCAGTTAGTTTCGATCTCACTGAACCGTCATTGGGGCTGACATATATGTTGATAAGTGCTGTGCAGCATCTACACAGTCACACTGAATGTTGGTGAGTAGAAATGTGGCCAGTCTATTGTTTCCTTCTTGGAGTTTGACCCTCAGACATCTCTGGAGCGCTCACCCCATGTGATGCCATCAAAACATAATTTGCACACAATAAGAGGATCCAGGAGAATTACATTTGTTGGAGTTTCTTTTCACAAGGAACACTTCTTTAATTAATGACATTTGGCTCATTGAAGAGCAGGTGTGTGTTCCAGCTTATCATCATTAAGTTAAAAAGCGCCCGGCGGCGTCTCACCTTGACTGACTCGCCTCTTAAAGACGAGAAACAGTAAATAAAAAAGTTAACCAACAGCAAACTCTGCTGATTACTGAGCAGGGATCA